GAGTACAAGATGACTGGTCTGTCAAAACAGTATTTGAATGGCTGCCACCACTGTCATGTATCCATAGTTATGTTTTTTTTTATGTTTGTCCATCGTTGTGTTTTTTTCATACGGTTTTTGACAGCTGAGAAGGATTCCGACTTCATCACAACAAAATTATTGTAGAAAAGTAGCAGCGCTTAATCGATTTTTATGTTTTACCAATAAATGCTAACAGATTCACTCAACATATTTCTATTTATTTCTTTGAAAAAATATACTTATTTAAATAAGTACCACCTGGTCACCAAGTAGTGACACGTCATCATCCATATATGGAAATGCATTTCCTTTTAAAGAATCAACCATTTTAGAATAAAATCCCATAAAATAGTTTACCATGATATATTATACTGACAATAACTTAAAAACAAGTATAGACAATGAATGTATGAATGGCAGTTTAAGTTTCTTTGAATTACAGCACAACTTCACTATCCTTTGTTTTTGTCTTTTTATCTAACAGTTAATTAGTTTAGGTGAGTAAGTTTAGATCCGTAAGCCAGAAATATTCCCAGAGGTGACTAATATCCTGGATTTTTCAGATAATTAGTGAAACAGAGGCAACTTTCCTGTCTGTTGCCTCAGGAAACATGAGTCAAACACAATCGCTGCTGTACTCCTCCAGATCCAGTCAGGTGACTGAACGCAGCACTTCTTTCTTGTAATTATTTCTCTCTGCCTTCTTGTCCTCCCTTTCTCCACTCTCTACAGACAAAGTGACAACAATATGCTTTCTGTTCTGTCCATTGCTCGTTTAGATCAGTTTGTGCCAATGTTCTCTGATTCGTTTTAACCTTTTTACTTAAAGGACAATGACGTACCAACAACAACCATAGTGTCCCATCAAATAAAAAAAAAAATAAAAAAAAACGTTTAAATATATATTCTGAGACAAAGCACTGAACATTGTTATTGTCATGATGAAGTGAGAAAAAAACCCCCAAAGGATTCAAAATAAAACTCAGACTCTTCTGAGAATATTAACATAAACAGTTTGACAGGGTTAGAAAAGCAAAACTTTTCCCAGAATAACTGCAGGGCACAGCAGAGTCAGCTTGGTAAAGTACCTGGAGTTTGGTGATGGGGCAATGTTTCCTCCACATCAGATGAGGTGACGGCCCTCTTTGTTGACAAGTCTCAGAGTCCCACCGCAAAGTCAACAAATCAAACAAGCCTGCCGTCGTAAAACGCAACACAGCTGAAAAGGAAGTGGGGCGAAAACCACATCAGTGGCAGCAGACGTAAAGCAATTTTTTTTTCTGTTGCATTTATAACAGCCTGCTAGAAACATACCATAAGGAATATAAATTAATCTAAACCGAAGCATGTCACAGTTAGGGACAAAGTTAGACCTAGCTTGTTATGCAATGTTGAACTGTAAACACTAAATCTGGGCTGCCTGGAGGAAAGTAAGAGCATTTGTGAAATACTCTCCACACGTAAACTGGGCTTTGCATGTAAGCAACTCTTTAACTTAAACTGTAAACACTGGATCTGGGCTGCTGGAAAGAAAATGGGAGCAGTGTGCGAGGTGGTTTCTTGTGAAATGTGCTTGGTTTTGAGATTGCACAGAAAAATAGAGTTTTCTCCCTGAGCAAATAGTGACCTTAAAATGTCAACATCCAGAGTATGTCTCAGATATGAGGCAGTACTTCTGCATCTGTAGTTTTTTGGGAGTCTTTACAGCCTAAGAGACATACACGGAGAAGTCAGAAAGGATAACATTTTGGCATTTCATGTCTTTTACGCTAACAAAATTAACATAATTAATGGGTCACCGCCCACCCATATGAGCAGTGACGGTCTTGCTGCTGCGCTCTGATATTATCCAGCTCTCTAATGACGCAGTTTGACCTCATATGGGTCTATTGTGTGTGCCAACAGGCTGTGGCGGGGAAAACTTGGGAAGATTGCCATGCAAGAAAAGTTTATTCATGGGTAAGTGCCAGATTTCAATTTGAGAACCAAATGGCAAAACCAAATGAAATGAGGCATTCGTAAAAGTCAGTGGAGCCGTGCTCATTAAATCTTTGACGCCAAGGGAAATCAGTGGCAGATGTTTTTAAAGGAGAGCTGCATATACTCTAAAGACATATACACAAGCAGAAATAACCTTGGGTTTTTGTCCAAAGTGCTAAAAAGGAAACAAATAAAATGAAAGAATTAGATTTGTGGCAAGGTTGGACAGTTGAAAAAGTGAAAACGAGCACAAATATTGTCCAATAACGAGGATGTGATGTAGCTTCAGTGCTGCTGGGATACTTTCGGGTGAAAACCAACGTCTGCCACAGTAATGTGTCTACAAGTATGATGTCAAGGAACAACGTGTCTCAATTTTTGAAGTTTTTATTTTATTTTATTTTACTTTTTGTTACATTCTTTTGCATGTAATAAGAAAAATCTATGAAAGCATAAAAGAGGGCAAGCACAATGCGGGTAAGAACACGATGAAATTTTCCAAAAGCACTGGCGGCACATACAAACTCAGACATTGATTCATATAAACATCTATATGCCCTTTTATCCCCTGAGGGGGAGGGAGTGAGCAGGAACGTACGCTGAAAGCAGCAGCTTGAAAGCAGAGCATGCCTGTCATTTGCCACAATAATGAATGACTTCTTGTGGCCTACACTGAAATCTAAAAAATAAATAAATAAATTCAGGCACATATCAAGTAGATGTTGCCATTTCTGTCCCGGGACTAAGAAGCACTTTTACCTCGTGCATCAGCTCTGCCATTTCAGTAAACAATTGAGTCAGAAAATGTATTGAGCTGTCCATCCACTGTCTATGGAAAGACATCCAAGCTATCCATCCATTGTCAGTGGAGTTGTGTCAGCATGCTAGCTCATCCTCACAGGTCATTGGAGGTGGTGAGGCAGTGACCAACAAGCTAAAACCATAAGAAACCAAAATAAATATTGTGAGATGAGGGTTAGATAGTCCTTCAAACCCATGAGAAGTATTTTGATTTCATCAGTTTTATCTTTTATTTACACTGGAAGCAACCATGACCACCACTGCTGATGCTACTTGGTATTTGTTAATATATATTTCTGAAAAGAGGAACCGGAAGATGTGACAACATTCATGAGTAATGTCTACTCTAACGCGGCAGAAGGATATGTGTCAAACCTAGTGAGCCACTGACCACTTCTTCCTCTATAAATCGTAGGTGCATCACTTCACACCTCCTTCCCCTCCTCGAAAGGTGGAAAACTTCCATAAAAAGGCAAAGCGTCTGCAAGGCAGAAGTTGCTGCTTTACAGATTGAATTAGGTCAATGAAGCTTAATAATAGGGTTTACTTGTTTTGCATCAGATTATAGTTATTGACAATGGGATCTTTAGTCAAGAGGGGCTTGTATGGGACTTTTCTTCTCTGCTTTACAACTTTGGAGATGTGTGCCAGCATGAAAAAGTGCAGAGCAGCAAACTAACTAAAAAAAAAAAAAAACATGTTTGCACAGCAAGACACGATGTCAGCAATGTGTTCACTTAAAAGAAAAATCCCTCATCCACCACTCCAACCAACCATGTGGGATAGCGAGTCATGACATGCTATCTGGGGAACATCTATCACCAAGCATCATACATATCCTAAAACGTGAATGAAAACATTTTTTACCCACCATAGCGATGCTCTTATCTTTCTCTGTCAAGTTCATAGTTGAACACACAAGTCGTTTTTTAACAAGAAGAGAAATGTTATTGAAATATACAGGAAGAAACTTGCGTGAGAAAGACACTTTTGACTGAAGGCACATCACCAAAACATGTGAGGTAATATATGCTGTGAAATAACACGTATGTGTCATTACTAATGATCTGGGTAATTTCTGAGTGAAGTTAGTGGTGTTGCATAAGCACCTACAGTGAGGAGATAGCAGATAGTTCCCCAAAATCAGACCAAACACACACTGATGTAGGGAAACTGTGAAAAACTTTTAATAAGCTTGTTTGATTCATTTGGTAGCTGTTTTATTCCCTTTTTTATGTCTTACTTATTTTCTATTCAATGAAACTGAGTGAAGTTAATCAAACAAAAGTAAAAACACTTAAGAGACCGAGAAAAGGGTTTTCTTATTCTGCTTTATCCTTGACCTAATTTTGCAATTCAGTTAGGATCCAGCTTCTTACAAAGAGGAAGAAAACTCTATATTTGTAAAAAAAAAAAAAAAAGTGGAAGCGGATATTTTTATATTGACACTTTAAGCAGTAAAATAACAGAAGTGTCTGGCTTGGTCTCATGATGATTTTGCGTTCTTCATAAACACTCATAAACAGATGAGCAGTTTCCTTAAAGTTAATGATGAAAACAAACCAGCTCCTTTATATGTAATCGATGCTCTTCAATCTTTACATTGTGAACAATTATGTAAACAATCTATGCAAACCGATTTGCATAGATTGCAAATCTATGCATCTAATCTACATGGTTTACTTTGTTGCTTTTTTTTTTATTTATTTTTTTTTACAGATTCGTCTCAGAGTAAGAAGCAAAAACTTAATAAGGAGCTTTTTCTTAGCAGTGCTATACAAAGAAGCACAATGTTTTTGATGTGCTCTTATTTTAAGAGACGAATAGTCACACTTTACATGGAAAAGGTTTTAAAAGAAAAAGAAAAAAACGTCAACTTATTATCCACTCATTTGGTAGTAGGTATGAAATAAATGTGGATGTTTTGGAAATTCCCTCAGCCTGTAAATTTCTACACAGAACTGATGTTACAGTAGGTGGGAGCGAGGGTTTGATGACTAAGACTCTACTCTGTATAAATACAACATCTACAACCCCAACCAGCAGCACAGTTCAGACAGGCAGCAACAGGGACCAACTTCCAAAACACAGAAGACATCACTGAAGTGGAAACTTTGCCGATCTTCTGAGATTTTTTTTCTTTTGACTTTGGTTCACACTTGACTATCTGTCTTTGAAGTTAGTTTTAGCATTTTTGTTACATTTTGTGCCGCAGCAGAGCTCGCTATGACGTGCTGTGCGTCAGTGGTGTGTTTACTTTTGGGAATAGGCGTGCAGAACGGATGGAGCCTCCCTGTCAAGTCGGTATTTGTCACCTTCCCAGGGGACGTCATCAAAAATGTGACAGATGTGGAGCTGGCAGAAGTGAGTAGCAGATGGTTTATTCTTCTTTTCATAGTCTGAGACTCCCAGAACAGAGTTTTAATAAAGCTGTTCGGGGGAAACAAATTACCTGAACAGAGACTGATATCACAATGTTAATGGAAATTTTTACTCTCTAAATTAAAGCTACATATGTCTTTTATGAAAGCAACTTATAAATGTCACAAAACACAAATTGAGAATGGGAGTGTTTGGCTGAGCTCTGATGTGTTTTGTCTTGTTTGACAGAGTTATCTGAAAAGGTTTGGTTACATGGAGACGGAGCAGCGCAGTGGCTTCCAGTCCATGGTGTCCACAGCAAAGGCTCTGAAGAGGATGCAGAGACAGATGGGTCTGGAGGAGACTGGAGAACTGGACAAGCCGACACTTGAGGCCATGAAGCGACCTCGCTGTGGTGTTCCTGATGTGGCCAATTACAAAACCTTTGACGGGGATCTCAAATGGGACCATACTGATGTTACATACAGGTGAGTGGAAGGAAAAAATACTATGTTTCATTACATTAATTATTACATAGTGAGATATTCTACCAAATATGAAGTGGCTATAAAAAATTTGCTTGTAAATAAAGCATTGATTTTCAAGGCAGGATTTCAGAAAACAACATTTCTGAAAAATAGCACTTTATACAAAAAAAACAAGTCATAAATGTTCAGATGGCATTGGGTAAGGCTATGGGATGCAAGGGAAAGTTTAAATAATATTGTCTTAAAATGCTTGAAAACATGCAAATCAAGGGAAAAATAAAAACTGACATTCTACCCTGTACCTCGTGCGATTTCACCAGATATATTTTTGCTATGGTAGATTATATCTTTAATGAAAACCATTTCACAGCCTAAAATCAAAAGCAAATTATATCATGGACCTGATTTTCTGTAGTTTTCAACTAGAGAAAACTCTCTCTTGTCGCTGAAAAATATTTATAAGTTTCATCAGACTGGATCAGAGAGTCATTTTGAGTTCACTGTGTCTTCAGGATCCTGAACTATTCTCCTGACATGGACAGCAAACTGATTGATGATGCCTTTGCAAGAGCCTTCAAGGTGTGGAGTGATGTCACTCCTCTGACGTTTACCCGTCTTTTTCAAGGCAATGCAGACATCATGATCTCCTTTGGAAAAGCTGGTATGTGCGCTTTTTTACATTTTTAAGTCAAACATTTGCACTCTAAAAAATTAAGAAGCTGAATTCTAAAAATCAAACATTGATGAGCTGCTTCATGTTCTTTTTAGACCACGGGGATCCATACCCCTTTGACGGTAAGGATGGCCTTCTAGCTCACGCCTATCCTCCTGGTGAGGGCATTCAGGGGGACGCCCACTTTGACGATGACGAACACTGGACTCTGGGAAAAGGAGCAGGTAACTACACCTCAAAAATCACTTGCTTCTACCTTCCTCCTTCCTCTGGTGTTCCTTGCACATATTTCCTTTAACATACAATCCAATCTGTCTTCTCAGTGGTGAAGACTTACTTTGGCAATGCGGAAGGCGCCATGTGTCACTTCCCCTTCACTTTCGAGGGGAAATCGTACACCAGTTGCACCACCGAAGGCCGTTCCGACAACCTGCCCTGGTGTGCAACCACAGCTGACTACGACGAAGATAAGAAATACGGATTCTGCCCAAGTGAACGTAAGCATAACAAAAATGACAAGCCTGAAGTTATCCATTATGTTTATGAGGTTGTGAAGGAAAACTGGAACTCATCCAACTACACTTTCAACTGTAATCCTCATAGTCTTGTTCACATTTGACGGAAATGCGGATGGAGCCCCCTGTGTCTTCCCCTTCACCTTCCTGGGTGATAAGTATGATAGCTGCACCACCGAGGGTCGCAACGACGGATACCGCTGGTGTGCCACCACTAGCAACTTTGACACAGACAAGAAATATGGTTTCTGTCCCAACCGTGGTGGGTAACAGGAAACACAAGGCGTGAAAGTCCTGCCACAGTGGCTTGTTGCTTTGTTTAACCACAGTTATTTTGTCTCTGTTTGTCCAGACACTGCTGTAACTGGAGGAAACTCAGAGGGAGATCCCTGCCACTTTCCTTTTCTGTTCCAGGGCAAGGAATACCACTCATGTACTAGTGAGGGGAGGACAGACGGCAAATTGTGGTGTGCCACCACTGACAACTATGATAAAGACCAGAAATGGGGTTTCTGTCCTGACCAGGGTGAGCAACATGAATGCAAGAATTTGTTCTGCGTTTATCATTTTATGAGATTTATGAAATTTCTAACTGGCTGTCTTCCAGGTTATAGCCTGTTCCTGGTGGCTGCCCACGAGTTCGGACACGCCCTGGGTTTGGATCACTCCAACATTAGAGAAGCTCTCATGTTCCCTATGTACAGCTATGTGGAGGATTTCTCCCTGCATGAGGACGACATTGAAGGCATTCAGTACCTCTACGGTGAGCGGACAACTCAGTACTCTTTCACGATGAATCTCGTCAAACACATGAAAACTTTGCCTTAAAGAACATTCCCATATTTTGCAGGAAATAAAACAGGCCTTAGTCCTACTCTCAACGCCACAAAAAAACCTAATCTGACTAGATCATCTGTCGTGACAGTGTCACCCACTGTAGATCCCACCAAAGACCCCTGCAAGATCCACAAGTTTGACACCATCACTGTGATTCAGAGACATTTGCATTTCTTCAAAGATGGGTAAGGAAATAGCTAGTTCTACTTATGTTCTAGAAACATAACCTGATGAGGTGCTAATCTTCCATTTCTGGTTGACAGGCAATTCTGGAAGGTACCAAGCAAGGGAGACGGAGGTCGAAAGGGACCATTTTCCATTTCTCAGAGTTGGCCAGCTCTACCTGCTGTCATTGACTCTGCCTTTGAGGATGTTCAGACCAAAAAAATATACTTCTTTTCAGGTAAGGAGTGTTCTTTCAAGAGCTTATCAGAGCACTGAAATGTTAGACAAAGAGTTTTAATCATATTTTATTGTTACATTAGGAAGCAGGTTCTGGGTGTACACAGGAAGCAGTGTGCTAGGTCCCCGCAGTATTGAGAAGCTTGGTTTGCCCCCAAGTGTGCAGAAGGTGGAGGGAGCGCTACAGAGAGGGAAGAGCAAAGTGCTTCTCTTCAGTGGAGAGAACTTCTGGAGGTGAGTAGAAATTGCCCCCTTTTTTTAGATTAAATCTGTAATTTAACCCATCCTTAAACACGTTTTGTGTTAAAGGACCAACAGTAGATCTCATTCTATCGCTGATCCCTACAGGTTTGATCTCAAGACCCAAGGGATTGACAAAGGATACCCCAAATATACCGACGCCATTTTTGGAGGTGTCCCTAATGATGCTCATGATGTGTTCCAGCACAAAGGTAAACATACCTTCTACCACTAAGCTTAGAAACCCAAAAACAAAACTTAACAAAAGACTCAGTAGACTCAACAAAACATGGCATACATTGTGGGTGTTGTAACATTAACGTTTCTCTTTCAGGCAACATTTACTTCTGCAGAGATCGTTTCTACTGGCGCATGAATTCTCGCAGGCAGGTGGACCGCGTCGGCTATGTGAAATATGATCTTCTGAAATGCCCAGATGCCTCAAGAAATCACTACTGAGATACATGCACAGATGGGCAGTGAGGATGTAGCAACCAAATGTTTCTTTGTGCAGGTGTCTGAAAGAATGTGATGCAGTGTTTGTTCATCATGCCTTTTGTATGATGTATGTGCTTTATGCAATGTGAACAACTGGCTTCTATTGAATTTGGCTGATTATTACTCATACAGCATTGGACTGAATGCAAGTCAAAGGCCCAGAAGGCAAACAACCATTGTTTGCACTCAGTCTAACATGCTGTGAACTGATGACCATAGTGGCCTATAATTTGAGACCCATACAAGTAAATTCAAGACATGCTTTCTGGATAAAACTCCGGATTTGCAGATGAAATTTCATGTCTGACTGGTTCAGACCCTTGTCAGTATTCAAATATTTTTTTTTGGTATTTATAGCAACATCTAATATTATTATTTTATGTCATAAGCCTATTTGTTTTGTGTGGTTTTATGTGTTTTTCTGAAAGTGGTTTCAAAGCCATAAACTTGCACTGGAAGACATTCTGTGTCTCCTTAATTAAAATTATTTATAAAACTAATAATTTTGTACAAATATTCCAGCTTTCAATGCAATAAAAATTCTGTGAGAACATTCTTCCTTTGTCAGCGTCTTTATCATTTGCAAGTACTTTTGAATTGATATGTTTCTTTACTGCTGCTATACACAACCAACAAAAAACATTTCTTGCAATATAATTCACTTTTCCAGTTTAAATCTTATAACCAGAGATATTTCTAAACTACTTTCTAATTGCCTGAACAATAAAATTGTAAGATTTCATGAAGTTCTAAAGTAGCGGTTCTCAACGTGGGCGGTACCGCCC